TATATACATATATATATGTATGTACATATATATATACATATATATACATATATATATATACATACATATATATATATATTGTTTTTAAAAACCAGATCCAATCTATATTTCAATTCAGACGTGACTTTAGGATCCGGATTCGAATTTCGAACCCATACCCGGATCCAAATAGGATCCGAAATCCAGGTTTCGGATCAGGATCGGGTCAATTCTCAGCCCTATCTTGTGGCAGTGCATATATCGATATCCTCCATATGCAAAGTAAAGAAACAACCCAAGATCGCTAGGTATCGAAACGTATATAGACTATAGATCATTGCATATATTCATTGTACAACTATTAGTGCGTTATATCTCAGAGCATCTATACACTGATATGTTCTATATATCAGTGCGTATATGCTACATATTAGTGAATATATACAATGATATGCTCTATTATCAATGTATGAATGCACTGATATATATCCACACTCATGTTGCATGATGTATCCTTCGTATATATTCAATTCATAAACATATGAGAGATTAAAAAAAAACAGAATAAGACGGAAGACACATAGCTGAACATTTGGCTTTGCTATAATTGGTAACTGGAAAGACAGAATCAACTACTCCAATAACAAACACCATCATGAATTCCTACAGATGCTATGTTGACTTCTAATTCATACCGAAGCCATTCTTGTGCACACATCAATACATGTACTGTCTCTAGACGCAAAGAGGTATATTCAGCAACTTGTAGTCGCCCGCCTTGTGCTAAATGTTGACTTTGATGCAATAGTGGAAACATGAGCGCCAAGATATCATGAATTCCTACAGATGCTATGTTGACTTCTAATTCATACCGAAGCCATTCTTGTGCACACATCAATACATGTACTGTCTCTAGACGCAAAGAGGTATATTCAGCAACTTGTAGTCGCCCGCCTTGTGCTAAATGTTGACTTTGATGCAATAGTGGAAACATGAGTGCCAAGATATCCTGAGCCATCTTTGAGAGATTAGGAAACTTTGGCACATTGAGTTCGCACTAGTTTAAGATGTTGAAATCTGGATCTAGTGGGAAGACGGTTTCCTCCAAAAATAAGTCCAATTCAGACGTTGTAAGTATGTTACAAGAACTCTTATATGAAACCCCTCACTCTCAATTCCAAAACCACCACTAGAAGATGTACCACGACCCAAACTGCTTACAATCCTGGAAGCTGATGATTCCTTCATTAAAATTCTTCTCAGCTCACTATAGAGATCATAAGCTCCTTGATGAACCATCTTAATTTATTGCTTTACTTCACTACCATAGATTTGATAGTAGTGATATGTCACCAACTTTAGTTTGAAAGAAGGATCAATCACAACTGCAATAGCCAAAACCAAACTGCATATCTTCGAATATTCTATCCAATTTTTGTTTGTTTGGAACTAACATGCTCGTACTGACTTGTGCTCCATTTCATTAAGAAGCAAATGAGTCTCAAGGAAATAAAGATATGCATTTGGATACTTAATTCCTGAAATTATATGTGTAAGATCACAGAACAATTTCAAACAATCATATATTTCTTTTGCTCTTTCTTAATTACCCTCAGATATTACCAAGTTGGAAATTGATTCACATTAGGCAAAGCAATAAAATGCTTCCTTTAATTTTAAGGCAAAATATCTTGTTATGTCGGGGTTCACCTAGTTGGAACAACAAGAATTTTTTTTATTTATTTAAACTTTGAATTCTAAATTGGTTGATTGCCTCGTAAACTGTTCTTTCTTCACTTGTGATGCTTTAACGTACTCGATCCTCATGAATTTTTCGAACGACCTAATGTATTATCACTCATCCATCTTGCGAAATAAGTTTCACAATATGTGCACTCCAATGCTCATGAGACATGTTTCCTTTAAGTGCAAGTGATAAATTTCGAGATAATTGACGTTTGAGGTACGGTGCAATTGCATTGTCTAAAGTTATAGTTAACAATTGTTTATCAATATTTCTATGGTCAACAACATATCCAAGATAACTGTAGCAGTGACACCTCTTGTGTGAGGATATGGTATAAATAAAACTAAAGATCTGCTTTATGATTGCCATGTTTCATCAATGTAACGTCCAATCAAGCATAAATGGCATTGATAATGACACATGCCATATTTTAGTGGAGAGGCTCATCTGGCTAGAAATTCTAACTCATGTAATTTCTTTTCCTCAAAAATTTCTATAATGTCAGGTTTTGTTGTTGGGAAACCATCATAAATAATGCTTGAAGATTTCTTACAACAATTCTAAAACCCGTGTACTCTACTATCGTTATAGGGTACTCATGTACGATGTTCATTTTTGCAAATCATTTCTACTTTGTTCTTGATCAAATTCAATTTATTAAACCCCCTTCTCGTTTCTTTATAGCTGCTACTAATAGTTTTTGGCCTAAACTCTTGCGCTGGCTTTGGACATCTTTCTGAATGTTTCTCTAAATGACTTACCCTGTGTGGAATAGCCCCCAGTATGTGTTTGTTACAATGCTTCCAAGTTGCTTTTATGGTGCCATCTTCTTCTTTAACCTTTTCAAATTCATGCCACAGAGACGAAGTTGTTTTCCGTTTAGAGGGATAAGATATGACATCTCTACAGTTGTAGCAGCTGCAGTATTTGCTCATCATTATCTCCAGCAACAAGCATTTTCCTGACTGATAAAATAAAGAAATAGTTCAACGAAAAGGAAGATTTCTCTCATGCCATCTATTTCTTTAAAATTTAGCTAAACCATGATCTTCCTGGTCTTTTGAGAGATTCTATGATGCATCGATACTTCTACTTGTTGAACGTGCTGTTGTCCTCACCAATACCGATACCGGATACTGCTAGGATACATCTATGTATAAAATGACAAAATTGTAAAAAAACATATAATATTAATAAAATATAATATATTGCATCATGATATGCCTATATGTGTCAATGTGTTTGATGCATATAATTGTATTATACATGCTATAATATGCATTTATGAATGTGTTGTATAGAATTTTCATATCTAAGTGCATAACCTGGGTTTGGGTTTCAAGAAATGCTGTCTCATTCCATTATCCATATTCATCGCCGAATCCATTCCTGTATTTGGGCATCTTATGCTTGATTATTTGGCATTCAGCATGCGCAGCTGCCCTGCATGTTACATGCAAAGTGAGAAGCCTGCAAACTCATGGCATTAGAAAGCAACTCTGAAGAGACATGAGGGTGTTCAGTGTGACTCTGAGGAGTTGAAAATTTTATTCGAGTCTTGGCTAACTTGGGTTATGTTGGAGAAACTACATATGTTGAGAAAGTTTATGCAATGTAGAATGTTTTTTATTGTATTTTCTCTAATATTCTTCGTCTGTTGCCAATTTTGTTCTTTGGAAATCCTCTATGGATTTGATATGATGAAAATTTCTGTGTTCAGATGTATTTGCTTTGTGCTCGTGTTTCACAAATTCTAATTTACTTTTGAGTGTCCAACACACAGGCTATTTTTAAATTATTGTTAGTTAACTTAGTCTATTATTCTTTTCAGATATTCACTTTATCATCCGTGCCATTTCGAAGCATGCCGTTCGTAATTGCTAACTGTTATTCTGTTTTAAAACCTGGAAGCCTGCTCCTTTTCAGGGATTATGGTAGGTACATGAACTCTTGTTAATATTTTTGTTTTTGACTAGCAAATAGCAATACAGGTATGCTTTGTTAATTTTGTGAACAGAAAAACAAGTTTGGTGTGTGATGTTTGACATATCAATTTCAGAAACCAATTTAGTGCAATCTATCCTTCAGTGCAACAATAAATTAGTTGCACAGGTGGTGTAAAACGAGAGCCTCCTGCTGTTTTCTAATCATTAATGCCTATTTCATTTCTTGTTTCCCAAATCTTCAATCCTGCTAGGAGCTTTCAAAGAGCATAGAAGAGAATCTTCTACTCTTTCTCTCTCTCTTTCACACACATACACACGCATGCACACACATGCACAGATACACACACACACAACCTTGGTTGTACTTCCTCTGTACTTTAGCTCTGCACAGATTCTAGTAGGGTTGTTTGTTGCTTTTTTTCATTTAAAAACGAAATTGAGATTTTCGTCCTTGCCATCTTATCCTACTAAGTACACTAGCTCACATGGATAGATTGTGTTTATTTTTGGGGTTGATATTAAGCCGAAAATGGGTATTATAAATAACTCAGCCAAAGTTAAAATATTTGAAGTGGGGTTTGGACTGGCTGGGTGAAGGTTGACGCCTGTGTGTTTATATGGTTTTCTTATGTTCTTATGATGATGCCATTTATGCTCATCTATAAACTAGACGTTTGTTGCTACTTTGTTTTTATTTATTTTTTCACTTTTTAACCTTTGTAACATGCTCAACCATATCATGTGCTGAATTGACTCGCAGGCCTCTATGACATGACTATGCTTCGTTTTCTACCAACGCAAAGAGTTGGTAACCGAGAATATAAGCGAGCTGATGGCACCCGTTCTTATTTCTTTTCGCTCGATACAGTGAGGGACCTCTTTCTAAATGCTGGTTTTATTGAGGTACCATCCTTACCAAGCTTCATAAATTGCATGGCAAAAAATTTGTCCTTCACTGGGCTTTCTAACTAGACCTCTTGCTTTGTATCCCTTGGCCACATGGTAGAATATGCTACCTATTTGTCATGATGCTGAGATCTGTCTAGGTTCCTTTTCTAGTATATCTTATAGTTGGTTTTTTAGTTTATTTTCATTTTTCTCTTTTAACCATGTTTTACCTGGTTGCTTTCATAAATGCTCTAGGAAAAGTATGTATTTCTAAATTAGAGCACTACTAATGTAGCATACACATGCTAGTGCAGCTAGAGCTTGAATATTGCTGCATCAACTTGTTGAACCATCATAATGGTAAGAACATGCGAAGAGTTTGGGTTCATGGGAAGTTTCAAAGGCCTATTTGAAGACCTGACACATCACTCCGTTTTTTACTTTTTCTCTTTTTCATGCCATTGCGGCTTATTTTGAAAGGTTTTCATTGATAAAACCCTTTTGAGTCCTTGCTCATGTCAGTGATGCTCATGATTATCAGAATCCATGTTGGGCTTTCATCATCTATCTGGCCTTGAGTTGGATTTTACATGCGTTGATGAAACATCAATATAATTAACCAGCAGGGCCATGGCTTCTCCGGCTGGGTGTCTTTTTTCATGGTTCCATAATATTTATTTACTTATTAATTTGTCTCATCAGTTCAGGTTATTTCACATTCTGTAAATGCGAAAACCAACTTCTAAGACTTTTAATTTAGCAGCCTTTTCAATATGGGAGCCCCCTTCGGCATGCAAGGACTGTTGTTCTAAAATATGGAAGTGGCTCCATATGGATATTTGAGAAGCATTGAATTACAAGGGAAAATATCCCATGTTGTCATTTTTGGTTCCTACAATTTTCTAGCATTCCATGCTAGTCAGATGTCTGCAAGGATTGGTCGTCGGGTGCCTTTTTTTTTTTGTAACTGTTAACTTTGTTGGGTGCTCCTTTTTTCAAAGCCATCTGAAAAATTTGAAGAATTGAGTGACATCCCCCATGGGAGTGGCTAGCTTGCTTCAACCAAAGTAGAAACGAGGTGACGGCCTTCAGCTATTGGTGCCCCAAATCACGATGGAGAAGCTTTTCCACTGTTGACCTTGGACAGTTGAGGCAGCTGCCATGAAATTAGGAATTCCAAAATGATAAGTTTACCAACCCTGTAAAATGCTTGAATCTTGGTCACTTCACTTTAAGTTTGAGGATTCCTTTGGTTTCCATCAAAGCACCAGACCTACTTTTGGGGGGTGGGAGAACTGCATTGCAGGCACTTCTCCATTAGGGCCTCTATCTGACATTGTAAGTCTTTCAAATAAAAAACATTTCATGGAAAGGAGGTGCGTATGCTGTTTGGTGCTCAAACTGGTGGAGAAACCGTGAAAAAAAAATATTGCTGTCGACCCCATTTTGTCCTTATTTTTGGGAAATTTTTCTTTGCTTTTTTAAGACCCCTTTCTCTTTCTTTTTTCTATTTATTTTTCCAATGGGAAAAGATACTTCACGTTCATCAAACTGACAAAATGGTGAAAGAGAGATGAAACTCTCCTCTGTCCCATCTCCTATTTGGAGGTGTAATTTGGGGGTTTCCCCCAATATTAGATTCTTTCTTTGATTTCATTCTATATGCGAAACTGTAGGGTCTTCAGAACTTGATGGGAAGTAGTTTACAATGTTTTAAATTTACAGAAATGTACCAAAATTGAGTTACTAGATATGTGTGATTTTTTGGCTGCAACTTTAATGAAAATTGGTTTTTGGTGAATTCCCTATTGAATGTTTGATTTTTGTTGAAAAGCTTTAGGTTAAGACTGGACTAGAATATCTTCTTGCTTGTAAAGATGTGAGTGCTTTGAAATTGGCCATAGTTAATATTCTCCTCTACAAACTAACGGCCGGCCAATCGCTGTGTTGTTTAATCATCTGATCTGTAATTTGATTTGAACATTGAACAGTTGTATGGATATCTCAACGATAGCTTGAGCTGGAATTTATTACTGTGTTTTTTATTTTTTTGAGTAATTCAGTGGGGAAGACAGCTCCTACCTATTTTTTCAAGTAGATTGGAAGTTAGTTTTTTGAAGGTGTTGGTGGGGTGGTGTTAGTGGTGAAAATGGAAACCACAATGTCGTGATTAAGGTGTGGGGGTACTACGATCATGACCTCATCCCCTTCCCAGCAAATTATTGTGCTAGCTTCTCTATATGTCCTATGAAGGGATTCTCATGTTATGGTACCATTTGGCGCTTTTTATTGCCTAGCATATGTGCCCTGGCGCCAGTGGGCAATACTTGGATGCCACGTTCAGCCTTTCTTAGTTATTGCCCATATTTGGGCGCATTTGAATCTTCCAAAAAGTCATTTGCAGGATTTAAATCATTTCCAAAAAATCTTATTGCAAGGAGACAAACAAGCCCTTTGAGTGCCAAGGGAAGCCCCGATGTCGTGGGTGCTGTAGTTTATGTCCAGCAAACCATACCCACTCAATTTAACAGGGTTATATTCTCAAAATGTTTCAAATTAGCTTGGGGCAAAAACTCTTCTAATCCCTTCTGTAATTGAGGTTTGCAAATTCTCTTAGAAAATCTCATCGATCTCAATTAAGCATTTTTTGGGCCAAGGATAACAAAATTTTATTAATCAAATGATATTTACAAATACATCACAGAAGCAATTCATTCGCAACAATCAAAGTTAACATTGTCCGCCTAGAGCATTGGCTATATCATTTAGCCTCCCGATAGACACGTTGGAATACCATCGGCATACCACCATACAAATCCATAACCTCAGCCCATAAAGAATGCAATGATCAAGACGGTTTGCTCACCTGATTGCACCAATTGATCACATTTAAGGAATCACACTCTACAACCCATCAACAAGTATTCACCTCTTTAAGCAATTTTAAGCTTTAAAGCAAAGCACAAAATTCAGTCTTAGGCGTCGTTTGGGTACTTGAAAATATATTACTGGGAAATAGATTACTAGGAAATATGATATTTATACTGTTATGGTACATTTATTAGTAAGAAAAAGCTGTTTGGATACCTGAAAATATATTATCAAGAAATATAACATTTACACTGTTTGAGTACATTTATTAGTAAGAAAATAAAAATAGATTACACAATATTTCTTTAAATATCGTAAAATCTATTACACGCGAGAAGGACTGGGAAATCTTTTACGCGCATGACGGGTAATCTAGTGTATAAAAAACCTTGTTCCCTCACTCCTACGTACATCCTCTTTCTTTCTCTCAAGCTCTCATTTTCCCTCTCAACCTGGTAAGCCTATTACTTACATCCTCTTCCTTCTCTCAAGCTCCTCTTTTCTCTTTCAACCTGGTAAGCCTATTATTTCCTTCAATCTCAAGCTCCCATTTTTCAGATTCAAGGCTATTTTTAAATCATGGTATCAATTTATTTCCTCCCATCATTTTACTCGAATCCACTTTCTCCTCTTCCCTGCTTCCTCAATTTAAAAATTAGATTGAGATATTGGAAGAGGTAAATGTGATAAATTATATTTTTATTTAAATTTATAATTACTTTTTTGGAAAAAAAAAAATATATATTTTTTGGGATTAGGGTTTAGATATGGATAAAGAAGTGATAAATTACTTACACATTGGCCCCTTCCAATATTTCAATCTAATTTTTAAAATACTTTACCATTTCACAATATTTTTTTTTTTAAAATACATCACCATTCACTAATTAAACTACAAATTAATGATATTTAAAGGTTGTGACTAAAATAGTTCACTCAATGTTTATGACCAATATTAATTCACACTATTAAGTTATTATTTTGAGGCATAACAAGCATGGTATAGTCATGCCATCTATACATATGCATTTCAATATTAAATAGGAATGTCTACAAAAAGACCATTGACAATAGAGGTCACAATCATTCTTAAGTATTAGATGTCAAATTGGATGGGTAGAGGTGAGTCATAAAGTGAATTTTTTTTTTAAAATTTTGTATTTTGTTAATGACAGTAGTACAACCACCCATTTTAAAATTTAAAGTACAAGAATGATTGTGCGTACAAAAGATAAAAAGATACATGGTCTCTTTGTAGACAATTCCATATTAAATCGCTATATCTAGTAAAAGCAATGTATTTTCCAGGTTGTATCTAAATACTACCCAAACAGTAACAATCCATGTAATGTAGTACGTCAGTAATATATTTTACAGACAATATATTTTCAGGTATCCAAACGACTTTTTATTTATTGAAGAAATACCACATGGACAACTATAAGAGAATAAGACAGGACCATCTGAATCTCACCAAACCTCCAATACCCACCAGGATTCTCAGAAGAACTGCCATCAAAATTAAATTTGATACTACCCACCACCAGAGGTAAACTCCATCTTTCTTTACACTTCACCTTAGAATAGGATTGATTAACCGAAGAACTTTAAATTCACCTCTATATCCACTAAGAAGTCTTCATATCCCTCCATTGTTGCTGAAAACCAGCTCCAAAGATAATACGGAATTTTATTTTTGACTCTCTCAATATTCGATATAGATCCATCGAATGTCCTTCTATTACATTCCTTCCAAATCTCCCATAGAATAGAGGCTCTCATAATCTTGCAAATAATCTGCCCTATTCAAGGTAATCCCGGCGCATTTCAATTATATTCTTTTAAGTAGTAGTGACTACGAGGCATTTAACATTGACTTTATGGTTATAAAATAACCTTATTTCGATTTTGTGGTATTACCTCCTTAATAGTTAGGGTGCTGTCCAATCTAGTGGTAACTCCCTTGATAATGAAATAATGGAGAGCATCACTAAGTCACATATTATCTCATCAAATGTCATTGCAAACGAATCATACCATGCTAATAGGAGCAACAAGATCAATGAAACCTAAGTTCTCACGTCCTCTTGAGCTTAGCGCTTGTAAACTTGGGCTTGGACAAGGCTCAGCAACCCCTCTCAAATTTTTGCTTGCTTGGTTGTTCCTTGAAATCGAGGAACAGAAACCGAGTCATCATCATCATGGCCTTTTTTCAATTAATTGGAGTCGGCTACACAACTCCAATTAATGATGTGAGAGATCAAATGAATGATATGAGAATGATGTAGGCGCTAATAGTGTTTTAAAACCTGGAATTGGGTTCTGGATCACCTACCCACTATACTAATCTGGACTGACTGAAATGGGGATCCAACAAGAAGACGATGGCGAAAAAAACACAATAAAAAAAAGAAAAAGACCATTGCATAGAGCCATACATTAAAGTTTATACTATTTAAATCATAAGTGAAAATAAATTTTTCATACAAACATGTTTTATAAATCACAAACGAGGTGATGACTGACATATTTTTGGCCTTGTAAAAGGCCTAAACATCAACTTATGAGAGAACAGCAGACTAGCATATCTCTGTCAGTACAGGGAGCATAAAACAACGAGTTATGGATCTTTCTTTGAAGGAAGCAAATGTTGCTTTTAGTTTAATTTTTCTAACTTAATTTCACAACTCACACAGCAAGACTAACTGTTCAGCCTGAGGATTTTTATACTTCCCATCAATATTGGGCAAGGCTGAGTCGTGGGGGTTCTTATTAAACAAGTCGGGTATGTGATTGTATACTGTGTGACTATTTATTTTTGATATAAGGAGATCACATTCATTTTTAGCTATTAGATGTAAAATTGAATTAGATGAAAGTGTGTCACAATATTCGAGAGATTTTATTTTAGACTTTGTGTCCAAGCAATGACATATGCTCAACCACCCGATTTTAAATTTAATAGTTAAGATGATTGTGACCTCCCTATATAAAAAGTAAATAGTATCATTGTACATATTTTTTTCAAAAATATCTTTTCACGGTTACCTTAAATTTGTTTTTCTTTATTATTTTGTTTATTAGTTGTGGCTCATTGGGATATAAATCCTTTTGAGTACCGGCAATCCTTTGATATTGGCTTATAAGTTGATTACTTACACTGAATTCCATAGTTCGTTTTTTTTTAAATAAAAAATTAATCATCTTCCCTATAACCTTATGGAAAAGTATATAAAGAAACCATTACTTTTAATACAATGAGGCCACAATCACTCCCGTACGTTAGATTTCAAATCAGATGATTGTGAGTGTACTTATGATCAGTCAAAGTTAAAAAAAAAATTGTCGAACTTTGTGTCACACTCCAATTGTCGAACTTTGTGTCTCACTCCAAGCCATCCAATTTGACATCTAATGGCTTGAGCAATTGTAACCTCCTTGTAACAAAAATAAATGGTCCCATAGTATACAATCCCTAAATATATATATACAAATAGAAAAGTATAAAAAGAGACCATTTACTTGAAATACAAGGAGGTCAGAATTCCTCTTGTCCATCAGATTTCAA